AAAATTAATTAACACACGGAGACGTAACAAATTACCAACATTGGTCACTCACTCATGTAGAACTATACAGTCTTACTATTATATTCTGAAAAATAATGAAGTAACAAGCTGAATAATATATGATAATAAAATGGTAGCTCATGCCAGTATGTATGTGCAAGATGAATATTTATCTGTTTTCTCTTGTACTCATTGTGTAACACATAATAAATATTACATTAAATAGTGGGTAGTTACATTATCAGTCTTTATTAATGCTACATGTAACAAATTACAATCAATGGATTGCTCTCCAACAAAATGCCTCTGCCCAGGTTGAACAGTGCTTGTTCTCATCAAATGAAAATATCACATGAAAAGTATTGGTAGGTGATAACTAGTTATATTTCACACTAACACAAACCCTAGTTACGATTTTTATAGCTTTAGAATATGGTTTAACAGGTTACTGACAAAAATGGAGCGTTGATGTTTTAGCTTAAAATTCTTTTGTAGATGCACAGAGAGTTGTGGGCTGGTTTTATCCCTACATTTTTTAGTTCAGTTTTTAGATATCTTAATCTAGAGTTATGTCTGTTCATACATTTCCTATGGCTTCTTCAATCTTGGTGTTATAATCTTTGTACTTCCTTGATTTCATTTTGTACTTCACTTTTCTTTGTTGATGTCCTTTTGCACTTTTTGATTTTTTTGTTATAATCCTTCTGTACATTTTCTGTGAATTTTCCTGATATAGTATTTGATCAAATTGATTTTACTTTGTAATTTTCCGTGAATCTTATATTTCTTGTAATTCCTCCTTTAAATTCAGTTCTTTTTTAAACTTTTTTCACTGTTTCATCATTTCCATTAAATTTTCAATCTTGCTTAGAGCACATATCATCACCTTCAGTCCATTTTTATTTACTCAAAATAACTTCACTCCTCACATGAGTTTTTAAACATATTCATTATCTAAGTAACTCACTAATGCTTTGACTGTTACTAACTCTACCCTCACTTGTTGTTCTATGTATACGTGTTTAACTTGTTTGTTAAACCTTGGAGAAAATTCAAGATATTGAGGCCATACCCTTCCATTATGCTAACCTCTACTGAGCAGCAATACAAATTTCAAAAAACTTTAAATTAACAACATAGGCTACAACAATGCAAATCAGTGTGTTAAAGAAGGATTTTGTTGGTTTTTAGAAAATGATGCGTGCATTATGTTCATCAGCTTATACTTTTAAGAATATATTAATTTTTATAGTTGAGCTTTCAGAATTTATTGTGTTTTGTATGTGAAGCTTAAATGTATAAAACAAGTTATGGCTAAACTACTACATCTGCTTTTTTGTACTTGCTCAGTTAATAATATACATGATTTTTTTTGTGTCTGCCATGGAGACTAATGATGAAACTCTGAGAAGAAAAATAATCTTAAAAGTTACCAAATTAATATAAACACTAGTCAATTGTATATGAGTTTTAAACACTTAAGGCTGTGGTAGATTAGAAATCACTCATATTATGGTATCTCCAAACTTTGGTTTAATGGATTATAACATGAGAAGTACCCCTGAGATGAAAACAAAAATTAGTTACACACACACACACTATCACACTCATGGACAAATGGATGTTAATTAATTTGCATAGTTGTAAAAAACTAGTTGCAATTAAGTTCAGGGGTACGGCCTATTGATAACATCCCAGTTTGTCTACTCCCATTGGCAACAGACGAAATGGGAATAGACATAAAAAAATACAATCATCAGGCTGTCAAATATAGAATAAGACTTAGATACAAAAATCATCTTAGTACAATTTTAGAAACAAAGCATTTTTGTATTTATACTGTTTACAATATGATGCAATAGACTTTTAAAACATTCACACATTGATATTGTTTATGTATAATACATGCACATATACACTACAAATATAACACAAAATAACCTAGCTTGTTCTCAAGAAGTTATAATACTGCTTTAAAGTTTTTTCATTTACAATAAAGTAGCATAACAAGTTTACAGAAAAAATATAAAACATTTATTTTGCTACATGATTACATTAGAATTGACTAAATTGGAATAAACTGGCCTATTTCCTAAGTTAGTGGAGAAAGTATTGGAATAATAGGTTGTGTTTGAGAAGCTGTCATAGCTCATTTTCTAGATAAATGTGAAACTTCAAATTATCTATATTTCTTTCATAATATTAGGTTATTTCTTAGTACATGAAAAAAAAGCAAGGGGTTTTAATGCAAGTTAATTTTTTTTAATGAAAAACAAGATTAAGTTAATCGACTTAAAGATGATCTTTCATAATCATTATAATGTATATTTATTTATTTTTTATTTAGAAAAAATCAAGAATTGAAACTTGGTGTTTGGAGACAAGGTGAAAGTAAGATATGAATGTGACAAACAATGCAAGACATATAAAGCAAAAGTAATAAAGATTGAACTGCTAATGGTGAAGCTTCCTTCTATGTTCATTACACATGCTGGAATGAGAGGTAATTTTGTTATAATTTATTTCAATACTTATGTGAAATATTTCTTAAAGTCATTGAATTATATCATTTGTAACTGTAAAATATGGATATTTTTCATAAACTTAATACGATGCTGCAAATTAGATGTAGAATATAAATGACTTATTGCAAATATCTTCTAGACTTTATTGAAGCATTGAGTACCTTGAAGTTTGGTTGAATAGGATCTTGTATGTTTCTATACAAGTGGCTTAAAACCTGTGCCAGAATTATAGTACATTGAAAAACAAACTTCACCAACAGACAAAGCATAAACACATCTTTTACATCATGATAGTGTCATAAATTTACTGGAATAATTTGTCACATACACTTAATTTGCTACTACTAATACTACTAAGTGAACAGTGTGTAATTACATATCAGTTATCAACTGCTTCTGATTATATAGGTTTTCATTGTATACTACTTTGTAATTTCAGGAGTTGCAATATGTTGGGTTTTTTGTAGGTTTTCAGAACTTTAATTTATACCTTCAGTCAAAATTAGTAGATTATTATTATAACTAGCCAGTAAAAACAGTTCATTTAATGGCCAGTGACTGAACATTTTTGTATCATGCCAAAAACATTATTGTACGTCAAGAACTTAGGAGCCAAACCAACTCAGCAGGCTGTTTCAATATATTATTCTGCAAAGTCTTGTACATCACAGTGGACTCTGAAGTAAAGAAACTGAAAACCCTCAGAGGAGAAGAATGAAGCAAAACCTGTCAAAAAGGACAATCTTCACAGCCATGCATTGAAAAATGATGTCACAAAAGCGTCTTGGGGCCTTGCAATTACTAAAGAATCTATTTTTCAACTTTGCTTAGATTCAAGCCATTTATCCAAAATCATCTTTCAGGACAGTTTCTTGAATAAGCTGTAATATTGTAGAATGAGTTGTGTATGATTAAAAAGTCATCTGTTGGATCTTGACATGTGTGGGTTCCATGTCGTTTATAGGGCATGTAAAATATTAGCTTTCAAAAAAATTTCTTGACAAGAGTTCTGTGAAGTATAAGCCAATTTGTATTTTGTTCTTTCTCGATTATATGATTAGTGCTTAGTGCTTACAAGCTGAAACTATGACATACATGAGTAGATGATATACTGAAAAATCTTTATGCGGCAAATAAAATCAAGGGCTTCATTTTCTTGTGCTGGTAGATAAAGGGAACTTTTCTCAATTGTGTAATGTGCTACTTTATTTTTTTTATGTGTTGGTAGATAAAAGAGAGCTATTGTCAAACTGTGTAGTGTGATTATTTCCTTGTGTTGGTAGATAAATGGAAAAGTCTTTAACTATGTAAATTTATCTAGTTTCTTTGAATAGCAGTGTGTCATTGGAAAGTGGTTTCTCCATCAATAAGTTTATCCTAAATGAAAACTTATTTGAAAACACTGTAGTTTGCCAGCATTAAGTGTGTGGTGCTGTTTTAGAGATATAGAATCAGTTCCAACAGATAGGAAGATACTGCAGTCAGTAAGATCAGTCATACAGAGATTACAAAGAACAGTTGGAAGTTAAACGTATATCTTCCTTCATGATGTAAAGAAATGGAACATAAGAATAAAGTTGACAAATAGATCAACTTCTTGGAAGAAGCAAGAAACAGGGTCAAAAAATAAGCCCAATTTGAAAAAGAATCATATGAGGAGAAAGTGAGACAGTTGCAACAAAAGTTATTTGTATAAAAAGTATAATTTAGCATTATCATTTAGTTAAGCTTTAAATGAGTGTCATCCTTTAGTTCTTTGACCAAAATATGTTTTCAACTTATTTTGTAGTTATTGAATAAGTATCATAAAATGTAATACCATAGTGGAAAACCTCCAATTATAATGAGCATGTACAACTGTAATGAGTTGGAGGAAGATGAGAAATACACAGTTTGGTCATTGAAATGGAGAGGTAATTGTCATGAAAATTGAAGAAATGATTTTGCAGGGGATAAAAAAGTTTGATGGATTTGATTAGCAAGTAGCAAATATTGCTTAGAATCTTTAACATTCATCATTTTAACACATTATGGCAACTAAGTCCAGCACTAAAAAGTCTTAACTTTTTTTAAATACATCCACTAATAACACTTTTATCCAGCTTCAAACCCTAATATTTAATTGTACCATACATGGCATTTAATGAACAAAATAGTTCCTGGTATATAAAGTAAAACACCTCAGCTGTCACAAAATAATGCAACAATCAATTAACCAGAAAAAGAAGTGACTTGAAGATATTGTAACTTAACAAGTTTGCCACAAATTGTTTTTCAAATTAATCTACTTTATTTCTTTTGGTGAGATTTCATCACTCTCTTCATAACATTGTCTCCTTGGCTTTTTTAAGAAAATGTCTACTGATATTTCTGCAGTAATTACACCTTTCGCCATGGGCATCCTTTACAGCACATGTTTTTTGTGAGTTACATTCAAAATGTAATGAAATTACTTTTTGTTTGTGTTATACTAATTAGTATAGCATAAAATTATAACTAATAATTCATATTTTAATAGTATTTAAGTTTTAAGTTCTTAATTTTATAAGTCATTATTAAAAAAAAATCTTGAATTTCCCATAGTGTGAGAAATGTGACATTTTTTCTCTAGCCATCCCCTCTTCTCTAATTTATTTATCACCCCTCCAAGAAGTATGAAATTTAATGTAAATTGCTCATTATAATATTGTCATCAATCAGGCGTAGCATAATTTTCATAGTCTTCAATTTTGTTTGGTTACAGAGCCATAAAATAGAAAATCAGACACTTTTCACATCCTCTCTTTCAGGATTTGTCAATAGTCCTCTCTTACATTTAATACTATATTATTTATAATGAGCAGAAAGCCAAAGTTTTCATCTATTAAATGACATATTGTATTATATTGTTTTGTGTACAGAAAAATGTTAATTTCTCTTTCAGTACAAACAAAGGGAACAAAGGGAAACACATCAACTAGCTTGGATGAATTTGTAACGGTTCTTGTCACATAGTTAGAAAGCCAGAAAAATTGTGATAGTTATGGGACATTGTCTGCTTTTTGCACATTATTATTCTGTATTCTTTTGTGTATTATTTAATTAAATAAAAATTATTTGGTGCACTGCTACCATTAGTATAAAAAAGTAGGGTTAAGTGTTATCGATAGTGGATAGCAAAAAAAAAGAAGACCCAGGTAAGTTCTTTAATTCTTGTTTTTCATGTGTATTCGTTATTTATTATTATAAAAGTGACTAAAATGTAAAAATAGGAAACTCGTTAGGTTAGTTAAAGTTAGAATAGATAAAGTAAATAATAATACAATAAAAAATTTTCATGAGGCGAGCAGCTCAGAGTAGCTCCTTAGTTATGTAATTTGATAGTGTAACATGAGCCATATATTTCTCAAGTAATTTACAATTTATAATGGCACAAATAGTAAACATGGTTCAGTAGGCAATAAAACAATAAATTTAAGTACAAGTAGATATATATACATTTACGAATTTAAAACTACTCAGAATAAATAAATGTAGTTTTATGTTACAATTTGAAGCCATTCTAGAAAGAAAAAAGGGTAATTTCGATTTATTTTTGTTGGTTATGAAATCGGTCAAATTTACCAACCTTGTATAGAGTTAGGGTAGAGTAAATAACAGGTAAAATATAAAGTTTTACTGAAAACAAACATTTGAAATGTATTTAGGAGGCTTTAGAGAATATGCATATGAAATTTGAGATTTTTAAGATGAAGAAAAGTATTTTTGATCTTAACATGAAATTCACTGCACATGGACTGGTCAAAAAAGACTCGATATGTTCACGAACAAATCTTTAGTAAAACTACTTCATTGAAAAAACTTTTTTTTTTTTCAAATGACTTGTGACATTTATTAAAAGTCTGCAACATTTTGTGAAGATACACTTACTGTATTAAAAGTTATAGTTAAAACTATATAAAAGTAAAAATGGTCACGTGGTTTGTCCATGGGGCTGAGCCCCCTATTGATAGAATTCATAACTGGCTCAATGCTAAATGTGCAGTACATGTACTGTTCATACATAGTCTTTTCTAATTTGCTAGTCTGCAGTTGTTGACTGGGTGCATTCCAAACGTCATGAACAGATTACTTCAAAGTGTATGTGTATGTGATAGGCATATGCCAAAATATGAAAATACTGTATGTGCCATTTGGTAGGATTATCCAAGAAATGAACATCAGTTTGGGCTTTGGTATATCAAATTGAAATTTTACAGCACTTTCACTGTGTTGTGGGTGGTCTCGAAGACAACATACAAAAGAAAAGAATGATTTGCACATTATGCTAAGCAAAGAGGAAAGTGATTTGCAATTGGAGTTATTTTAATTTGCAAATTGTGATGCAAACCCAGATATTTTGTCCCCTGTTTTGCTATGGATTTTATAAATATAATTGTTGAATAGAGATATTGTTTATTGATGTTGAGTTTAGATGTAACACAAATATTTAATACAGGCTGAAATAATGTAATTTGAACAAGGAGCTGCTGTACTGTTGATTTAGTTCTGGTCTTATCTCAGTGCCATAATGAATAGGTTAGAATAAATTTTGTTAGAACACAATGGAAAAGATCTATATGCAAAAAAGGTTCTTATACTTTTAAATGTGTTTTAATGTTAAGTAGCATGCTGGTTTATTTAAATATTAAAGAAGTATCATACTTTTACATAGCTTCAAGATACTGAATTGTAAAGCAGATTTCATTGTATTGTTGAAGATCTAATCTCTCCTTAAGATTTATTTCCAGTTCATGACTTTGGTTAGGCTATGGTATATATATATTTATAGTAGCAAATTTTATGAATCATAATTTTTCATATTCAGTCTAACAAAGCAGCCACTCTAGATTATACTTAGTACACTTTATAGCTGGTATCTCTTTTTATTATTATTATTAGTTATGGTTTATTTTATAAGAGAAAATTAATTCTGTGCTCCAATAATCCATTGGGGTTAAATGTGTAATGACATCTAGTGTTTACTGAAGCTTCTTTTCATGCAGGGTTTTGGCCTCTTTTTTTTGCCTTAATGATGTTGATTAAAGCTGGTTAGAAGTGTTTTTCTTCTGAGTTGCATATATAAAGATTTTTGATGTATCTGTTCTTTATATTTGTATTCTGGGTGTAATGAATAAATTCCCAATTTGTTCTAACACCATATCTTCTTTTAACGTACTTGTTATACCCACTGACACAACACCAGAACAGAACAAATGGTAGAGCAGCTTCTTATTCAAATTATACTATTTCAGTCTATATTAATTTTAAATGCACATTTTTTGTATTATAAAATATCCTTTTCATGTGGAAATTGACTAAATCCCAGTGCATGCAGTTAGATATTCTTAAAATATTTTCTTTCATATATATCTGTAATTAATTTAAAACTATTCATAATAGATATATATATATGCAACTTGTGTTATGAGGAGTAATATGTATAATTTATTTAGTGTGCAAGGTATTTCAAGTACTTCTAAATGATTGTGTAATTGGTAATTGTATATTTATGTGAACCAATTGTTATATTCATTAAATTCTTTTTTTTATTCTTTTATAAACTTAAAAATATCATTTTTGTGTAGGTAAAAGACTCGAAGACAAGGGGAAAAGTTTCCAAACTATTCATTTCTGAAAAATAAACATACAATGAAGCATCGTAGGTTTTTGGAAGAAGTTAATAAATAATTATCAAGAAAGAGATCTACAAGATGAGAAGGAAATAGTGTTGTACAGTGAGCTGCTAATAGAAGCCAGACCAGGAGAGCACTTACACACAGTAGGTCTGAAGTATTTCATATTTTAATCCTCTGAACATGAGTGTGTCGAAGTATACATGTCACAAATTTTATGTAGAGCCACATTCAAGATTTAATCAAACAATCTTATTATACATGTATGGCAATAAACTTGGCATCAAAAATAATTTATAATTGAAATTTTAATATTATATAAGATTTAATTTCTTCATCACTAACTCTAGCTATTATCATCAACATACAATGCAATGAAATAATTAAAATTAGGAAATAGAAAAAATACATACTTTTAATTTTTTGTAGAATATCTTTTTTAAAGATTTTAATTTTTTTAAATACATAATTTTAGGTATTTTTCTTTTCACGTATAGTTAATTTTTAATGTTTTATTTACCTTTCTTATAAATCATCTCGACACAAGTCAATGATGCTCTCGAGGCATATTACAGTGTCTCTGGCAGACATGTGCAACACTTTGGCAAAATTTTCATGTGCCTCGTAATATCATAAGCCTTGAGGACTGACACAAAGTGTGATGTATATTTAAAGTATTTAAACCCTTCAATTATGCATTTTAAAACATAACTGATACATAATTAAGTATAACATATTTAGTTAAGAAACAACTGTGCTATAGTTGCTCAAGCATCCAACAATACTACAGTCAGCTACATGTACTCTGTGATGACAGATGTGTGCCAATTATGAGATTATAATGTAAAATGAGATCTTTCTAATGACTATACACATGTGTATGTAACATCTACATGTAGGTTATAAAGCTCAAACAAATCTGTTGAAGGTGGATGTGGCACCTGTCAGGGTTTGAGAAAACTGATTACTTGTTTCAACTGCATTCATTCAGAAAACTTTGAAATGTACAAGTGAAAAGGTTATGTAAGCATCTTATAGTCTACACATACATCAACACAGCTACCATTGTATTATTTAAGATACAGAGTGTAGAAAGTAGAGAATTTTCATAGCTTATTAATTACATGACAATACATCTGAAGTTTTAGGTAGTTTTTATTTATTTCTTTTGAAATAAAGGACTTGAAACAAAGGTAGCATAAAACTTCAAATTGTAACATACATTATAATGTTAATTTCATTCGCATATATTGATAATAAAGGTGTTTGATTAAATTTTGAATGTAACACAGTGACTTATGCAGAAAATTGTTTAAAGGGGTACCCTTTGTGAAAGAATTAATTGAAAAGGAAATATTAAAAAACATTGCTCAATATTCACTTTTGTATGTCACCTGACATGTCCATGCTCTGAATTGTTCTATTTACATTTTATTACTTCTATGATACAACAATTAGAAACTCAAAGTTCACATATTGAGAAGATATTAAATACCAACCTCCACCTTCGTGGTTTGCTGAAATATCAATACATTCAGCAATTTATAAAACCTACCAGAGAAATCCCTTTCATCCCTTCATTCTTTTGAAGCCATTTATTTACTCATGCTAACCCATCATATGTACATGCTTATAACCAATAGAAAGAGAAGACTTGGAACCATGCAAATCTGATAGTTGTCTGTAAATATTTTGACAGGGAAGGCTGTAGTTTGCTAGCAAAAGTCAAAGTGTGTTGACTAAAGTTGTTGCTCTGAACAGAAATGACTTTTTCTTAACCTATTTATACCTTACTTAAAAACCCAGATAAAATATAGTAGTTTGGTGATGTCCAATTCTAGTGAGTGTTTTTTTTTCTTTTCTAAAATATGTATTTAAAATTTACAAAAATTAATTTGTACTTGTCTCGGTTTGAGAGAATCAATGAGGGTTAGTGACTATGTCTTCCTTTTCCCGAATGCAAGTAAATTTTGTAACGTCATAAGTGCTAGAAATCATGGTTTTTTATGTAAATGTTTTATTTATTGTTATATGTTTTAACAAGAATAAATTTTGACAATGTAATAGTAAATTTTAAATGTTATCATATTATATAAAAAAGTAATGGTACACTACTTATATATTTGTATTTTGTAGGTCAGTCTCATTGTAACTGTACATTTGTTTACTGAATGTGTTTTTCTTCTACTCATCTACATTGTGGTGAAATAAAAGCAAATTATAGAACACTAGAAACTTCACAACTTAAACAAAAGATTATTCATAACACTAAAAAAAAGATGTTCTATAAAACTCCATGAAATAAAATTATGAGCAAATGTTTATAAATTACATTATAAAAGAAACACTAATACTGTACATACAAAACTGTATGAAACAATGATATGTTGTACAAACTCTATAATAAAAGATATGTACAAATGTTTACTTCTTATGAGGAAGAATACATATGCAAATATTTAAACATCATGAAGAAAGAACACCACTACATACAAAAGTGTATAACTCAAAGATAACGTACAAATTTGGACATAAAAAAAAATAGTGCAAATGTTGATACATGATAAAAAGGTAACTAGAATTAAATCCAAAATAGGAAAATCTTTCAGAAAACAAAAATATGCTTAGAAAACTGTAATATTGAATGAAGATTTATATAAATGTTTTACAAAAACCTTGTAGAAAACTTTAAAAAATGTTCCTCCTGACATCCATAAAATTATACACTGATCTTGACATGTCATGAAAAGGAGCATCACTACTGTATATACAAAACTGTAATAATTAGCAAAATGTTACTTGAAAACATTTTAGTAAAACACTGTGTAACATCCAGAAAAAATAGTCTAAAAAATTCTATGAATCAAAAAATGTAAGACAGTTTCAAAAATAATTGTTGAACATTCAAATAAAAGAAATCAAAAATGGAGAGATGTACTGTCAAATATAATCGTTAATTTGTAAAATTAGAAAAAGAAAAGCACAGACACTTTTACCTATTACATGAACAAAACTTTTAAGTCAGATTCTCATAACTGATTTATTTTGATGTGTGGGTTGAACATGGAAATTAAATCAGCTATGATTATTTCAGCAAGGTTAGTTATGTACTAGATAAAAGCTTAATTTCTTTGAAGATGAGGAATAGTGTGATAGTCTTCAAAGTTTCTTATACAGGAAATACTCATGAGGTTTTACGCAGCATTTGTATCTTATTTTCTGAAAGGCACAGTCTGCATCTTTTCCTCTTATTCTTATAAACAGATGTTGATATATGCCTGTCAAGAATGAATTGCAGAGGTGATAAGTCCAGCACAGTTTAAGTAGTATACTAGAAAGACCTGTAGTAGAAGCTCAACAAGAGCAGTGGTGGCCAGGTCCTTCCTTAGTCCTTTGAGATAATGCCAGCTGTTTAATTTGCTTTTTAAAGTACATAGGCATTCATAACTGCTAAATACAGAAATTAAAAAAAAGTTTGTTATACTACTTTATTTTTTTTGTCCAAAAGAAAAGTAACTCAAATGCTGCTCATTTACACATACCCACATTAATTTGTTGTAGTCCACAATTATCTAAGGTTTTGTAATATCAGTGTCTCTCCATTTTCTTGTCAGTTACAGTCCCAGAATGTATTGTGAAAAAGGCATAAATGTCTCAATTGTAAGTCCACTTTACAGTTGTAATAGGTTCACATTTAAAAAATTGTGCTTCTCCTCTCATCGGTTGTTGTTGGAAATATAGTCTATCTTTTCTGCATGACTCACAAGCATACATCCTCATTTATGTCAAATAAATGAAGTTTAATTTTTATGTTCACACATTTAATACCTTGAATTATAATCCTGAGCAAATAAAATGACCACAGTGTATCATGGTTCTTTCAAAATGGCCAGAAACTGAAATAACATAATTTTTTTTGTGTCGCTAGGGCAAAATTAATGTAGCAAAAAATAAATAAAGGCAGAAAGTGACTAGAATCTCAAAAAGCACAGGAAAAAAAACATGTCCAAACACAGGCAGTGCCTTGGAAAGAACAAGCGTATAATCATGTACATTACTTCGCATGGAGATTGTGCCACTCTACTATTGGTGGATTGTCACTGCATTATGACAATTATGTCATAGGCTGGTACAATACACATAAGACACATGTATAGGTGGAAGTTTGTTCAAGGCTTGTAGCATGCACAGGAATTTCCATGGAAGTTGTATGCAAGATATTAGCTCTTGGGGGGGGGGGGGGGCATAAAGGTGAGTTACATTTCCAAATTCTATTTTATTTTGTACTACTTTGATTTGTAGTCTTTGAATACATAGCCTAAATGCCAGAGTCCTCGTTCCAACCACCATATTGCAACTTTGTTTTTTATAGCCATCACAATTCATCTTTTGAGCCACTTTAAACAATGATTGCAAGAAGAAAAGATCTTAAGGCCCAGTCAATCCTCTTGAGGCATTTTTTTTATCCAATTATGTCAGTGATGACCGGAGGCACCTTATCTGCTCATGAAGCTGAAGTTTAATAGTTATCCATTTGTCTGAGTTATTTGAGCAAACATCTGGTGTGTAAGATGTCTCAGATTCCAATCCCTGATGAGGTACTATGATTTTCATGGACATATTAAGTTAGCACAATCTTACAGGGTAGTGGTGAACCATGGTACGACAACTGTTCACTGCTAGCGTTACTGCTACCATATGCCTTCCGCCTTTTTCTTCTCCAGTTCAGATTGCTTGTTCTTCTGTTTCATTGCTTTCTCAGGAGCCTACCTCACCTGTGGATCTACATCCAGCCTTTGCTTCTGGCTCTGATGATGATCAGATATCTTCTTGAGTGTGTTTTTTCATATCTTTTTGCATGTATATCATAATGATTCTTGGGTTGCTTTAATCTATAGGTTTTTTTGCCCCCACCTCCACATTAGTTAGAGTCTTCTTTGTCCTCATAGTCTTCATGACTCCTTTGCTATAGTCTAAGGTCATGACCCTTCTATATTTTTGTATCCAATTTCTTGTGTTCCTTCTATCTGTCTTTCAGTGATTGACAATTACTGAGCATTGTTATCCACACCTTTCACTTTTTGCCCAGAATTATTCCCATTCTTTCATCAGTTTTTTTCCTCTACTTGCTCATATTAATCTTTGTTCGGACATTCACACCTGAACTCCTCCTCTTCCTAACATTATAAGGACCTGCTAATTTATCCCCAGACCACTCCTTTCTTCCAGAGACTTGGAATGCCCAGAAAGGCAATTAGTTGTTTTTTTCATATCTGTCTTCCTTACGTTTCATCATTATGTGATCATTCCATTCCCAATCATCTTTTTATGTCAAGTTTTGGCTTTCTGTTGCTATCCCACTTGGACTACCCTCTTTCATGGACACTACCATCACCTTTTTTTCCCATGGCTTACTTCCTCTTCTAGGGACTTATTCCATTTCATGTTAACTGTTTGGGTTTGTCAGCTCATCCATATGATGTGTACATTTTTGGGGGATCTTGACTGATCCCATTTTAAATCATCTTCCATCAAATTAGGCATATAACCACCTCTCTTGCTTCCTTTCCATACTGTCTTTTAGTGGAGATCTTGTAGGGTGGGATGTGGACTTCTAATACATTCATCTCTCATTATTTACATCACTTGGTGGTTTCATAGGCCTCTGGTTCTGCAGTCTACTTGAAGGCTCCAGTCCAGGCTATAACATTATGACAATTATATCATAGGCTGGTGCAATACACATAGAAACATGTAAATATTGGGGAGTTTGATTATAGCTTGTGGTATGTGCAGGAAATTCCATGGTAGTTATGCATGAGGTAATGGCTCTTAGTGATGCAGAGAGTTAAGTATCTATCTGAAATACCTTTTCAAGTAAAGAAAATGTTAACTTTTAGTTTACATGCCACACCAGGAATTCATGAAAAATCAAATGACTTGCTGTTAAAAAAACAAACAAAAATATGCAGCTATTTTAAATATTATTTTAATAGGTACAGGTTTATGCACTTTATTTTTATGTTTTTATGAAAATTTGTATAAAATTACATACTATGTATATAAGACCCATGTAATTCAAAATGATAGAGCAAGTCAGTTTAGTAATGTTTTCAACATGTAATTTAGTTTGTAGTTTATAAGTCTGATAACATACAGTGATGATTTGTACTTGTGCCTTTATTACCATACATATTATTAATGGTGATTGCTGCAGTGATATAATTATGTAAGGGAGAAATATCAATTTTAAATCTATGATACTATTAGAGGATTTGATTAATATCTTAACATATTTCACTAACCTAATATATTTTGTTCCATATCTATAATTGTACTGTATTATATGAGAACCATCAGTTTGCATTGTTTGCTTTATTATATCTCGTACCACAACTCATTGTGGCAGTCATACAGTTGACATAATATGTTGTGGTTCAACAAAAAAAGTCACAAACTGAACTTTTTTTTAATTTTGCAGCACTTCTTGGCATTTGAGTACCCAGTCAAAATGTGTTGTGGTTGTTTTGAATTATCTAAAATCTCAAAAAAGTATTTCATTTTGGTCTCTGATTGTTTTAAAAGAACGATAAGTAGTCTTTGAGTATATGTATGTATGTATGTATATATATAATGTCCAGACCTATAAATAGAGATTCTAGTTTATTTGTCACTTTTTTTCCAGGTGCATCTGACTGACTACCATATGTTGTTGTTATATTTGTGTGAAACGTTTATAATAATATGAAATGATAATTATCTTTATAAGATTGAAAAAGTACAAAAGATTTTTGTTAAACTGGTAATAGAAAAATCTTATTTTCAGTTGTAGAAGAGTTTTCTTGCAGTAAATCCATGTGTTAGAACTAGTCAGTACAGTTTCTTGTGATCTAACCTCTACTTATATGCAGTAAGAGATCATTGTCAATTTAGTGTATTAAAACTGTGTGTATAATGTAGGTTATGGTTTTATGTACTTATACCAAATTCATATTATTATTAGTGTCTTTTTAAAAGATAACCCCAAAACACTGGAGGAGGATGAAGCTTATTAAATAATTCAAAATGAATTATCAACCATTTTGTAAATCATCTTTCAAACACACAGTGTATCATCTTGATTGTTTTCTGACAGATTATATAACTTGGGTCTAATCTGTAGTGGTATATCTGTTCATACAGAATGCTATAATTCTCATGAAACTGAATAACCTGCATGTTGTTTTCATAGATGATTACAAAGATTCTGATGAGAGACTAGCTATACTGTAAGAAAGGTTGTGTGAACTTAAATCCTACATGCCCACGAAAGCTGAAGTTGCACTGATAGATAGAAGAAGCCAGAAAAGGGGAAAAAGAAGTTGGTATTTCAGTATTTATGCAGTTATTTACTCTGTGAAACTTGAATTTTCAGGTTCATAAAACTAGAATTCTAACAAATTTCAGAGTTGGTTTTTTAGAATGTATCATAAAGGATATAATACAAATATGTCATCATTTCTGTCAAAATATTATTTTAAAAATTTTAATTACATGAAAAGTTGGAAGTAATTTCACTCAAGTAAGAACTGGCTTAGTTATCCTATCAACAGCTTTGAACTGCAAGTTTTGAAAAGATTTTATGTTTGTCAATCTCTTATGCAGCATTTACATAATCTTTTTATATATAAATTAATTGATGTACCCATTTTGCATGGGGAAGACATTGGGGCCCATGGGGAGTGTCATAGGGGTCCAAATCCAGACACCAAGCCTCATCCTATGTCACTCACCAGAGTGCCCTAAGGGTGCGTTGAAGTTTGGTAGAAATCAGTAGAATAGTACAGTGAACACACAAGGGTCTCCAGGGTGACATTGGAGGGTCAGAGCTAAACACTGATCTTCCTGTGTCGCTCCTACAAGGTATGGTAGAGATCAACATAATAGAATAGGGAGCATGAAGGGCCTTTGTGGAGTGACATAGAGGAATCACATCTGAACACCGACTCCCTTATATCATTTCCAGAGGGATCCTAAAGGGGCAAATGAAGCTTGGTTGAGTTCAATCAGAAACTACATATGTGAAAGGCAAACAGACAATGGTCCTACACACCTACAAACAGACAATGGTAGTACACACCTGGGGGCCATAAAGGTGCAAGCCATGTTTGGTTTATATAAGTCAAGAAGTGTAGGCATCAAAAGTGGACATACTGATGATGCTAAGTGTTAATGTCTTGCACATTTTATAACTTTGCAGAAGAGTGGGTATAAAATATTAGTAATGCCATCATTAATTAGGGTGTTTTTAACATAAGTTATGATATTAAGGCATATAATAACACAAACAATTTCAGTTCAACTTAATACTTTAATAGTGATTAACAGAGACAATTGTTTATTTTTAGTGAATATTTGTTTTCTGTGTTTCTTCTACTTATAATACCTCATAGTTACTTGTATATAAGACAGAAATGAAACTGGAAATTAACAGCATAACTACTTATTACTTAGGAGATTCAAATGCTCGATTTTTAAATTAGTTAAAAATATTTTTTCACCATATCCATGAGAGGAATATGTTTTAAAGACACAGTGCCATGCTTACATTTTTGTGCCATTCAAGTAACATAATTTCTTTAAATTCTTTGATGTTTTGAAAAAAAAGCCTTTGCTTTTCACAGTCATATGAATGTTGGAAATCATAAGTAATTTTTGTTTTTGGTAGGAGAATGTGATAATTGTAAGAAAATACAAATTGTTTATTTTTTAACGTATTCATGTTTTTTGCACAAAATATTAAGGAATATTATATCGTCAGTAATTTACCTTGTAAGTTTTTCTAGAATGATTTTAGAAGTAAGCCTTTTTTTTTTAGTTCAGAACGATAATTTTAAGTAAATCTTTGTTCCAAACTATTTTGCATGTAATGATTCTTGACTTCGGATTTGAAGGATTACCAATAAACTTTTGAACGTAATCAATTATGTATGCCTAGTTTAAAGAACAAGTAATGGAGGTGCGTTTTAAATTTACTTTTGCATTTGATACTTATTCCTTCAGTAGTTGTATGTAAATAAATATTTTATAATTGAATACATATTTTTGTTTTTGATGAGCGAACCCAGTGTTGTTTTCAGCTGAGGCCTATCACAGACATTTTAAGATGGTATAACCTATGAAGAATTGGCTTTTTAATAACTTACGTGGTGGTAGATTTACTTTTTACATCAAATAACTTGAAATTTATTACAAGGGAACAATGTAAATGATACCATCATTTCCGGTTAAACACTTCTAACATAGATGTTGTGTTGATCCAACAAAAATAATAAGTGTACACTCTGCTACCAGTATGAAAATCTTGTTTATGCTTGCTAAAAATGAACATCCTTGTGAACATATAATAGATTAGAACTTGACATCCAGTTGCGATTTTTTTCCATTTTTAAGGTAATCACATTTGAAGTTTCCGATATTGGTTGTGTCGCATCACATTTTCGTATGTATACCTGAAATTACAGACGGTGGCAAGTTTAAGAAAAAAGCAGAATGTTGATTTTAATAAAGTTTTGCTTGTAAGCGATTCGATTGGACTGAACGGATACATATATTTACTGTTAGCCTTATGTTGTGTTAATACACAGGGGAGAAATTTAGAATTCGTTTAGAACCAAATAAGAAGTGATAGTTTCAGAAATTAACAGAAAAGGCTTATGTGCTTTATTCTCCGTCATAATACAAGATACTGTTACGACAGCGGAAGTCACGTGACGCTAGTACGTCATGAGATTCTAGAAGGATCGTGTCTGTTCCTGGCAACTCTAGTCTTTTCTACGCGCCCTCTATTTTTGTATATATAAGCCCGGCAAATAAAGCGGGGGAGAAGTGACGGCATAGATAAGGGCAGATAGAGAGATATAGAGACAGATATAATCGAGTCAAGCCGTAATTAAAGTGTGTAAATCATTGTGAATTATAGCGTGTGTTGAAGTTAAAGTGACTGTGGAAATTCTGTGTATTGCAAAGTTGTATTGAGGAAGAATAAACTAGTTTTATTTAAAAAAGGACTTATATCGCTGAAGTTCCTCTGGAAGAATTTTTTACGGGAAATTAACAAACGATTAGAGACGTAACAATACTATGTATATTACTTTAGATATTTTAATTTACGTAACACCTAGTACTGGTTCTCGAAACGGACATCTTAAATAAAGCTGTTTTGAAGGAAACATGGTAGAATAGAAAATTATATTTTTGAAAAGAATGCTAATGATGCAAAGTAGATCTTTGAATGTGAATTGTAATTTTTTTATTGAGTTTAAATATCTGAAGATAGACCTATCTTTTGTTTGCCCTATTGTAACGAGTAGGTATTGTTATAACATGTTTTATCCTTGGGCGGATTCTTTTGCATTATTTTGTAAAAATAATGCCAAGTTCAGTCCACGTGATGATAACGAATTACTTTATTTCTTCCGTGATTTTTGCTGCAGGCTACTTTCTTTGTAGTTGTAGGCCTAAGTACACAAACAACGTTTCAACAGAAATTCCGAGACAATTGGTAAGTATGCTTAACTCACTAATATCCTTACAGAATTTTCTCACTAATTACACGAGTAACTGAGTAGTCGCGATAAATCTCACTTCTGTCACTGAACTCATAAACTCCCTGAATACTCAATAACTTCTTTATCTACGTACTCGTATTTATGAATAATGCTTCCTAGTAATTCTCACCGCGGAAAAACTAGTTTCGATACTGGAGTTTGGCACATTATATAGCTTTGCATACTCTGTCTAGGTATTAGAGAAGCTTCTAGATTATTAAATTTCATTGTAATTAGTAGCGCCCTCTAGTAAACAACTAAATTGTAACATTGAAAATATACCTTACAACCTGATGATGACAAAACCTTGTCGAAACTTTGTACATTTGCTGTTATGTTAAACTTATATTAAAGTTTTTTCATTACCCATTCAAGCCGTCTCCAACCATTATTAGTCTCAAAGTGGGTTCCTCGTCATCGAATTTACAACAGTATTATTCTATATACTGGTAATGAAATTGATTTTATTATTATTATAAAATAAATAGTTACACGTGTTTACAGATTGTTTTTATACAAAGAGTAATTGTTCCAGTCGATTTTCCCTGGGTTTTTTTTCCTGATCATAAAAAAAACTGTCAAAGATACAATAAAAGTTTCCACACATTGCGCAATTTTGTCTTTCCCCACCATAAAAGTGGACGGTTCAGTTTTCAACGAGTTGCGTTCGTGGCATGACATGCAGATCTCAGCATCGTTAAGCCGTTTTGAATATTGTTTATTTTATTATACAGACTGTGGAAAATTGGGTAGCTGTTATACATTCGTTCGTAATGTTCAGTGAAAACACGAAACAGGAGCGTCATTTCACAAAAGGCTTGTTTTTGTAGGAAAACATGCACTTTTTGTAAGCTACCAGGACAAAAGACTTGGGGGTAGGGAGATTAAGAAGACTTTTGTTTATTTGTTTGAAGTTAAGCACACTACCACGGGTATCGAAACCCGGTTTCTGGCGTTGTAAGTCCGTAGGCACCCCGCTGTGCCATTGAGGGGCTAAGAAGACTGACCTCGTATGGCCCTCCAATTTAACAGGTAATTTGCGTATATGTGTTAATCCAGCCTGACCAGAAATGTCTCACAAAACCTGCCATTTGGAGCCCCCTTCCGAGCTTAAGAGGAGCGGCTGACCCTGTCGACCTCTCTCCCGCCAAGTGACGCCCTTGGCACAAAACGTGTTAAGCTATGAGACATTCTGTAATAACATTTAAGCGTGCGTGTATTTCTTATTACAGCAAAGTAATTGAGAAAAATTGTACAGATTTTTCTCATTTTTGATTCCGGTATTTCCTACAGTGGAAGTTTGGGTTCGTTGTAATAGGTTGGGTTTGGAAGAGTGGTTGGCGTCCCGCATTGTGGATCTGCCTGTCGAAAGTTCATGTTCATTTACAATAAAGAATAAAAAACGTGTTCCGAACTTTGAAGCCCTGGTGCATTGTAATATTGACGGTCAAATTCCATTATTCGATCACACGAAAGTGCTTCAAGAGTTTGTGGTTGGTGTTGTTGACTAGTGGACTCCAGTCCAGTGTTTCTCAAACGGTGGGCCGCGAGCAAGTTTCCAGGGGGTCACGAGTTGTCTGCACTGAGTCAATTTTTGTTGTTTTTGAGTCCTCGAGGTGACCGGGAGGTACACGTATCACCTTTACTATGAACTCTGACGAACTGCGCCAAGAAACATTTCAGATAATTTTTTCATCTTTGTAGAGAATGGGAGGTCGCGACGAACAAAGCCCAGACGCGGGGGTCGTCTGGCAAATCCGGCTGAGAAACACTGCTCTAGTCTATAAGTTAAATTATAGACGGCTAGCACAGATAACTTTGTGTACGTTTACGCGAATATGCGAGAAAAAAAAAAAGAACTATTGTAATATTTAGCGCGAGTCACCTCTAGATAAAATGGATCTTACATGTATTAAAATAACATTTTATGTACACTATACCCTGATTGCCGAGTCACATCTGCTACGAAGGTTAAGTTATAGAAGGATTTTAAATTGTGTTTACAAAATAAAGTATTTTATTCATCATCAGCTATTGGAATGTTTATCAACATTTTCCTAACCCTTGTTTCATATTATATACATAAAAAAAAAACATTCTATGATGTTAAAATGTCAAATCTAAAAGTTGAACTACAATGAATTTACTTGTAAGTACCCTAGCAAAGCTACTAAGGCTATCTTTAACGTCCCTAATATTTGAACTATTTACCAGAGATAATACAGCCAGTCAGCAGTACCTTACCATCTACGTCAAGGCATTGACAGTCACTGTTATAACACACTCATAGCTTAAAATGAAGGTGGGATATTTTGTAGTATGGTATGGATTCGAATCCGATTCGCCCGCTCTAAGTCTAGAGTTCTATCACAGGCAAACCCCGCCAAAAACAGAGTATACTTCTTACTTATGAAAGATATCTTAATTCGATGAAGCCGTATGAAGTTGATTCTCAAGCACATGCAGTGGTTTTGTAACCTGGAATTTTTAAAAATAGTTTCATTAATTGATTATGAGAATTTCGTTGCTTACAAAATATGCCGATTGATGAGTGACATAAAAAAAAAAGAGTTAAACTACAAACGTTTGCCTTCACCGAAAAACTATTGGAATGATCATATCTTTATCGGATAGCCTTAGTTAATAGTAGCAAATTAGCCCCCAGTGGCACAGCGGTATGTCTGCGGACGTACAACGCTAGAATCCGAGTTTCGATACCCGTGATGGGCAGAGCACAGATAGCCCATTGTGTAGCTTTGTGCTTAATTACAAACAAACAGTAGCAAATTCATTTATTATAGTGCTATTTTTTTATTTGCGTTAATAAACGTAAACTTGAAAGACATTAGTTCTATCAATTTGAAAAATATGTTAAAGAGTTTGATTAAATGTATGGTGAAAGAAATAAAATCTTACTAATGGAAATAAAACTGAAAATAGTTTAAATAGGCATTTTTTGCAATGCTAGAATCCAAGATTCGATTCTCTGCTGTGAACAAAACGTAAATATGTCATTATGTAGCTTTGCGCTAAAACCTAACAGCAACAACATTTTTATTTATATTTATACGATTTTGTACGCCATTATGATAAAATATTGCCCCCCCCCCC